GCAAAATGAATCCAAACAGGAAAAACATGTTCTGCTCAGCAAAGACCACAGGCTGTATATAAAATATAAACACAGCCACCGGGTCAGGGAAGTGAAGCTAATCTTGAAGTTCCCTCACTATCACTGGGGGCTGCTACATGTTAGCTATTTGTATTAACTTGTTAGTCGTATAAACTGAGTACAAAGTTAATATACCAGTGAACTCCAGTCACAGAAATGTTTTGAATCATGAAATTTCATCAGTGTCCTCATTTGTTAGAAAATTTGTGTTTTCTGCTTATTTTTGCAGTTACAGAACGAAAGATTCCAATTTACAGTTTTGGCAAATAGAAGAATTTGAATGCTATTTATATATCTACAATGCACACAATAGTGTTGGTATGACCAAGTGCTGTGACCAGAGAAAGGGAAACAGTTATCATTCCTAATAATATCACTTATTAAAGTTAGCACGCTAGCCTGTGATACCTGACCTTTAAGTGGTGTAACTTCTTGTTCCAAATAACCACTTCGGTAACAGCCACATGCCAAGCTCGCAGTTTCCAAAAAATAATATTTCTTTCACTAGTTTGACAAAAGAGCATGCAGCACTTTTCCTACTAATCAAATTTGCTGTCAAACTAGATTTCTACACAAGTCTGACTATAAAAGAAATGTCAGTTCTGGGGATGTTTCTATAAGGATAGCGACCTGAAGCACAAACTAAACCCAACATTTGTGCATGTGGTCTGACATACTCACACTACTTCTGCTCTTAGAAGCCAAAAATGATAACTTCAACCAACCCAGCGTGTTAAAATTATGGGTTATTTTGGAACTGATGTATGAAGTACAGGATACATCGTCATATTATAACTACTTCCTCAAGAAAGGAATAAAAGAAACTGATTGCAACAGATAAGACACACTACTAGTAACAAAGTCCAACAACTGAAGGTTATGAAGTAAGATGTAAAGGTACAGCTCTGTATTGATGGCTATACAGGGTGTATCACACTACTTAGGTAGTTTCATCAAAGTCAATAAGTCAATCTCTTTATATTCCTACATTTAGACCTTTGAAAACGAACTATAAAACAAAACAAAATCTATGGTGCGATGTGACGTGCATAAATATACAGGTTGTGTATGTAAGTATTAAGTAAGAAAGTATTAAAAAAACACCAGCCTTTAGGTTACATTACTGGCAGATGCTATTAATTTTAGGTGGCTGTGTACCCTCACATCAGTATAGAAAGTAACCAGGCAGGTGGATGTATGTGCTCCATCTGTACTCACGTTTTCCATGTAGTTTGGTTTGAAGCCATCTGGTTGGCGTCTCAGGTCCTCCTGCTCTCTGTGCCTCATCAGCTCCTCCTCCCTCCTCCTCCTCTCCTCCTCGTGCCTACAAAGCAAAGAGTGAACAATGTGTGAACAATTGCAGATCGATTAACACAAACCTCAATGAGCTTTAAAAGAAAGCATCTTATCGTCAGATTGATTCTAGTCCAGTAATTTTCATTTATTTTTAATATGTAAACAACCAAAATAAATGGGACAAGTGGGGTAAAAATGAACCACGACTTTTAACCTAACAGATCTGTGCCTCGAGAGAAGCAAAACAATATCATTTGGCCCTTTACAGTAAATACTAATCACATTAACCGCTTAAATAAAGAAGCACACCTCATCTCTATCTGCTTTCGTCTCTGTAGCTCTTGGTTGCGAAGCTCCTCAAGTCTCCTCAGCTCCTCCTGACGTCTCATTAGGTCTAGATCAATGACAGTAAACGTAAAAAAGTTCATCCAAGAAATGAGAGACTCACTGGAAAGGCAACTGATTGTAAGGCTACATTATATTGCATGATATTTATTTTCACCAAGTTCTGTGAAATAACTATTTTTCTTTCTTTAATTTTTTAAATCAGAGAAAACACTAACAGTATTATTAACCAGTTCATTTCGGAAAGGTCCATATACTTTTCTTTCATCTAAATATATGCGAAAAGCTGATTAGCATCTCCAAAACATTACTAGATATTATCCACATTAGCAGGCTGGTATTAAACTCCATATGTAAAAATGAGCAATAAAGGTCACAGATCACACCTTGTCTCATTAACATGAGCTGATGTTCATGCTTGGCTGACTCCAGCTCGGCCTCCAGTTTCTCTTTAGCCTCTTTAATGTTCCTGTCCACCTGGTCCCTCTGCTGTTTCTCCATCTCATCAAGAGCTTTCCAACGAGATGAGAACTCAAACTCAAACGTCCCGGGCTGAGCAAAACGTGGTTTCTGTTCTCGTTCCCTGAGGAGAAAATGCAAGTACTGTCAATAAATCCGAATTATAGCATTCCTCTGATACGGACCTTCAGTTGTCTACAACAGTATCAAAGGAAGGAAACAAATCCACTGAATTACGATGTGACTGCAAAATGACTTATTGCTTACTTATAGTACTTTGGAGTCTTTTGGAGCAGTTTTTCAGAAAGACCATCCTCATCATCAAAGTGTTCTGCAGGTTCCACAATGGCAGGACAGGGTGTTCTGAAAAAAGTGAAGAAACTGTGTTAATACTAACATTAGCAGATATTATCGTATGTACAGAATGATTATTTACACAGAACTACTGTATAGTTCTGTGTAAATAATCATTCTGTACATACGATAATTTTTAATCCTCCAACCGTTTATAACTTGCATAGTTCACATTTCTGTATAACTGTATATCTCATATTTCTGTATAGTTTTTTTATTTCATATTTATATCCTGTTCATAGCCTGTACATACTTATAGTTATAGAATATTCACAACATACTTCATACCGTGTACATTGTAACATACCATAATAGACCCATTTCTGTAATATACTTACATATCTATATTATTGCTAATATATATTGTAATATATCTATATCACTAAAGCACTTCTGGATGGATGCAAACTGCATTTCGTTGCCCTGTACCTGTGCATTGACAATAAAGTTGAATTCTATTCTATTCTATTGGTTAATAAAATTTGGGAGATCCGCATATATGCATTTGGCAACCTGTTTTGCCAAATGCCATGAGGACAGTTAATTTCCCACTGGACAATCTCCTCTTATTTTAAAAATTCAGTCACTTCTCACCAGCTATCCCCAGCCCTTCCTGGCCTGCATTTTTTGCACAACTGCTGGCTCACTGTCCATGCTGCTATTCGAGCATTTCTCAGTACTTCAGCTGCTTCTCCAGATGGACTCCAGCTCCATTATCTTGGACTGCAGCTTCTTGACATCTCCTCCATGCTGTAGGGTCTGTTAGAATGTTCAGTAGGAGGAAAACTGCTTCATGTGATGCTAAGCTACTACTACTGTCACCAGCTGAAGTCCCAGGAGATTTAGTTAGGATTTCATTTGTGTGACAACTCTCACCGGAGAATGATTTGATTATATTGCTCACATATTTGTGACAAAGTGATTATGGAAATAAGTTCTGAAAGCATGTCCAATTTGTGCAGACTCATGTATCTGTACACTCAGACTTACTGTATTAATCCTATGAAACATCGCCACAGGAAGTACTGGGGATACCGATGAAGGGTGACAAAATTAATCCTAAAACCATCTTTTTCACTTCTATAATGGCAAGGACCTAATGTGGTGTTGCTGCATTTTTAAAATAAAAACAAGTTACTTTAAAGAACCGAATGTAATTACAAACTCAACACCAGAATGAACATATTCAAATGTTTTCAGCTCATTAAATAGCCTCATCCCTCTGCTCCTTACGTGGTCAGCAACAGTGCTCCCTCGGTGCAGCGCTCCAGAGCTTTACGCGCTGCTACTTTGCTTGCAAACTCCACAATGCCTCTCCCAGTGGGACGACCTCGATCATCTGTCACAGCAATAGCCCGTTCCACTGGTCCAAACTGGGAAAACGCCTGAGGATACAGCGAAGTTAGGTAACCATAAATGCATAAATCATTGTAGCAATACATGCAGATTTTACTAAGTAGTTTTCTTCTCTTGTCTACTCTACCTGTTCCAGCAGTTCATTTGTCACCACAGGCAGCAGATTGCGCACTGTGAGCGCAGAACCGTGTGTGGCAAAGCGGACTCTGATTGGTCGATTATTCAAAATAGTCCCATCCAGCTCGACTTTAGCGATCTCTGCTACAGTTCGGGTTTCCTGAAGGGATAAAGACGCATTCCCTCAACATTGCTTTCACGCAACATTGTTAAAGTGTGCCTGACATAACGTATAGGATGTAGAATTGCAAAAAAATAAATAAAAATAAATAATTTACTCTCAAATATAAGACGCTAGCTTCCAATATATATTAATTAGTAATGCTACATAAAAGCTTGCTATATGTGTGTGTGTTTATTATATTTGAGGCTTCACGTTAAAACCAACAAGTAGAACTATTTTCCATACCAAACGAATGAAGCCGAAGCCCCGCTCTCTGTTGATGAACACCTCGTTGACGTTCCCATATTTAGAAAACAGGTTTTTGAACTCCTCCTCTGGAATATCCGGCGGGAGACTGCCGACAAAAAGACGGGAGCGCTGAGTGAACGTCTTTTCACCGGGCTTTCGGAAACTAGTAATGTCTAGGGTCATTTCTGTCGGGCCTTCGCCGCTTCCTTCCACAGCTCCTTCCATTTGTTCAGCAACGGGGGACTGCCTCGGCGGCGGGGCCGGGCTGTCTTTGTTCGCCGGTGTCTGCTCCGCCGCCGGTGAGTCGGTTCCGCGTCTCGCCGGTTGAGGAGAATTGTTGCTTTGCATGTTAACTTGTTGCATATTTCGGTTAGCCATGCTTGGAATACTTTTGTAGAAATTTGCCCAAGTTGAATTAACTGGCTGCACACCAACAATGCCTGCAAACGCCTCCTTCTAATTTTAAAGATGGCGACGGCTGCGTGCGCAACTTTCTTCCAGTTCTCGTGAGATTTGTGGCAGACGCATCGGGTAAGCGTTACCATAGTCACTACAAGATTTGATGGTTCGTTTTAGTGTAAAGAAGTATTTACCAATTACTGTAGAAAACAGTGAGAACTGTGAGAATAGACTTTTGCAACTGACCCTGTTACTAGTAACAGCACGTTTGAAGCGGAAGCTCCGGCGCATTCAACACACTTACGAAACGAGGCTTGGTTCGTCTGAACAGAGTCACGTGACCAATGACGTCCGAAACTTCATTGGACACGATTCAACCGAACCTTCATTCACCATGGAACACGTTTTAACAAGGAAGGTTAATTAATCAAAATGATTTATTATAAACATAGACATAACGTCATTTTTTCACCCCAAAAAATACATGTTCAAAGCACCATATCAGCCCAATATCAAACAGAAGCTGTTAATTCAGCTCTGTAGAGTGGGCATCATAATAAAGCAGTTCATTTTAAGTTGTAGATTCATGCTGCTCTTCTTATTTTTGGCCACCAGATGTCACCAAAGATGACTGTGTTGAAGAGCTTCGAGTAATGAACCGTTTCTCAATACAAGCTTTAATGCTTCAGAAAGCTACATTTGGCTATCACTATTACACATGTTGTATTGTATTGTTGCTGCTGCTGCTGCTGTTACTCACATCATCCTCAGATACTCAGTCTGTAGAAAGTTATATATTTAAAATATACACTACCCATCAAAACTTTGGACACACCTTCTCATTTAATGCGTTTTCTTTATTTTTACTACTTTCTACTTTGAAGATACATACTGAAGACATCAAATATATGAAGCAAATATATGGAATTATGCAGCAAAGAAAAAATATATATGAATTTGTCTTATATTTTAGATTCCTGAAAGTAGCCACCTTTTGCTTTGTTGATAGCACTGCAAACCCTTGGCCTTCTCTCAGTGAGCTTCATGATGTAGTCACCTGAAATGGCTTTCACTTCACAGGTGTACCTTGTACAGTGTTCATTTGTGGAATTTCTTGCTGTCTTAACGGGGTTGGGACCATCAGTTGTGTTGTGCAGCAATCAGGTTGGTACACAGCTGACAGCCCTATTTGACAACTGTTAGAATTCATATTCAATTCAATTCAGTTTGATATTATTTATACAGCGCCAAATCACAACAACAATTACCTCAAGGTGCTTTATATTGTAAGGTAGAGCCTAAAATAATACATACAGATACATACAACAATCATATTGTGGTGTGTTGGAAGCGGCTAGTTATCTCCCATCATGCCTTGGGAATATGTGTTGCTGTTTAAGATGTTTATTGTTTATGGTTACGTGGCTCTTAACTGTTCTTGTTGATGCTGCAGTATAAATTCCCAGACAGTTATTGTTAATGTAAAGAATGTAGTGCCATGAGTGAGTTCAGGCTTGTAGTTATTGACCCTCTGAAACACAGTGTAGTAGAGGGAAGTGTACAATAAAGAGCTCTCCCTATCCTTTTGGGGTAGAACAGCAAGCTTAATGTCTGTGTAGGTGCTTTGTTGTTAAGGTTCCTCAGCTCGACACAATATGACCCCCTATGAGCAAGCAC